GCCCTGGAATCTTCGGGAGCCGAATCCGAAGAACTGCCAGACGAGCAACCCCACTCACCAGAGCCCTCGCATTGCCAGCTGGCTCCAACTCTTGCAGTCGACTCAATCGGTATTCGTCTGGGTCTTGGGGTGCTCATGCGTCAATCAAGTGCCTGCCAGTTGCATTGACTATACACACTCCGCAGCTGTCTGCTATCTATCAAACCACGCCTTCACAACACGCCTTACTGAGGCACATGGACTGCGATAGGCTCCAGGATGTCCTGATAGAAGCCCGGGTCCCGGAAGGCTTGAAAGTTTTGACTGTCCGACCATAGCCTTTCATAGTCTCTGAGTGCCATCGGTCAAGCATGAGCTCAGCGATGCCTTCCGAACTCCAGGTTGCCATGCGTTCAGCCAAATCAAATCGCATCGTGGGCAGAGCACTTGCCACCAAAGCTCACATCCGAACGCGTGTCCAGCCTCGTAAAAACCTTCAAGGCCAATTACCCGGGTGAGCTGCTGGACGCTGACACTACGCCATCCATCCGCCTGCCCTCTCTCACCGTGGCCAGCTCTTGGGGTGACCCAGACATGGCCCTGCTGCCATTTTTGCAACACGGGGTACCGACGGGAGCCGTCTCAGCCTTGCCACCCAGCCTACAATGGCCGGCCAAAAAGCCGGAAACCCCCGTGCCGATCTGGAGATCTGTGAAGGCAACTGGAAGATGGCCGAGGACGAACCAGAGACAGTGCAAAGCCTGCTGCGCAATGAAATTGCCAACGACTGGATTGTAGAAACCGGCCTTAGCATTGCCGAGGCTCGTGAAAATGGCCTTTAGGTATAGCCGTAGGCAAATTAAATGTAGTGTTTGCAGAAGGGAAAGAGCCCCGCCTTGTCCTGGACAGCACCGTGTGCCAAGTGAACACAAGATGCCATCTGCCATGCCAATGGCATCGGACCTGGCACTGTCGACACAACCGGAGGACACTCCAGGAGCCTTCGTGGGTGCAAGCATTGACTTCAAAGCCACACACAAACAGGTGCAGGTCCGCCCTGAAGAGCATGGCCTTCTGCTGTTCGCCTTTCAGGGGAAACTCTACCATTATAGAGTTTGCCACTTTGGAGGCTGTTTCTCGGCATTCTGGTGGCAGCGCACTGGAGCATTTCTACTTTGCCAAGTGCACGGGATATTGGCTTGGAAGCCTCACAAGGCCTTCCTTTTCGTAGACGACCTTCCGTGCGCACTTGTCCGAGACAGCGCTCCAGAAATGTTCGCCTTAGCCAATTTCGTGGAAAAAAGCGCAATTCCAGGACAGCCTTATTTGGTGTGGCTGGGAGATCAACTTCTCCCACGACACCATTCAGCTCGTGTCCGCTAAACTGACGAAGCTGGACGCCTTGATCAAAGCACTGCTGGGGAGCAAACGGGTACTCCGAAAAACACTCGAGCAGTGCATAGGCCTGCTCATTTGGGCCACCAGGCTCAATGCACTCAATACCACCTCAAATGTGGTCAGCCTTCAGAGCATCCTTGAACAAGGATCTCAAAACAAGCCATAGCCTTCCCAGCCTTTGGATCGCAGTGGGCTCCAAAATTTTGGAAATTTTGGGTCGCGCCATACACTGCCCTCAGGACGTCCCGCGTGTGCCGGACACAAGCAAACCCACGCGGGTACGTATCGCAGATCCCAATAACCCTTATACTAGCCTCTCCAAGTCAAGCCAGCAATGCCTTACATGGCTGGCTTCGTGCTTCCAGCACTCGCCTTGGTAGGAATAGGGGGCTGGGCAATCACTTCCTCACAAGTGGTTTGGTTTGCCGAAACCTGGAACATGCAGGACATGCGGGCAGTATGGCCTTGCCTTGTCAAGCCTGGACAGCGATACATCGCATGCTTCGAGACACTGGCGCAGTTGGCACTGCTGCAAGCTACCCGCAGCCATATTGGTGGTGGGCACTACTCGTTCAGCATGCCTTCAAGCACTGACAATTCTGCAACGGAAGCAAGCCTTAATAAAATGTTCACGACCTCCTGGCCGTTGCAACTCTTCGTGCAGTTAACAGCCTTCTGGGCTCACGCACACAACGTACTGCTGCAGCCAACACACGTTCCGGGAAGGAGCAACGATTGGGCAGACAACCTCAGCAGAGTTCGGTTGGCCAGATGCAGCCATCGCCCTGAGAGTCGCGTACGCTTCAGCCCTGCAGGCCTTGCGCTGTCAGGCAGAGGCATTCAGCTGTATCCGATAGATGCGCCCTGGCACCTCCAGCAGTGCGTAGCCGAGCCCTATTGCATCCCAACATGCATCGCGACCCGACAGCCCTCGCCCTGGCAACCAGAATACCTGGCTGCGTCAGCCAGCAGCTTGACATCAAGCCGCTTTGATTAAAAATGAGCGGACCCTGAGCGACAGGATGCTCGCAACCAAGCGCATGCAATGTCATGCTGACATTTGCCCTGCCAGGTGCAACCCCACTCTAAAGGGGGGGTGATGAGGCCGGCGGCCCAGCTGGCTCGCTTATACCAGGGTTGCCTGAAACACTGACGGGGGGGTCAACGCACCTCCTGCTCCAGGCGCACCCGTGCCCTGGAAGCAGTGCTACTTTCAGCAATCCCGGTAAAAAGAACTGCGGCCGCCTTGGACTTGCATTGTTCTTTTGGGTGGTCTTGTTTGGGTTCCAGCTAGGAGCAGTGCAACATGCCTTAACGTTTAGGGTTTTCTTTTCCCTTGTGTTCAGGGCATGTTGTGAATCTACCAACGCGGTGGCCATTGTGCTCCTAGCCTTGACCCAAACTTGTTGTTTCATTTGAAACCGCTTGGTCTCCGGACCGCTCACGGTCTCCGGACCACTAGGGCACATGGTCTCCGGATCATGAGGTTTGGGCAGAGCCGCAGCTTGCCCTTTCCTGACCACAGACCCCGGTTTGGTCAGGCGTGGGCACGCATGCCGCGCCATGCACGCACTGCATGCATTTGCAAGGACACGCGTTGTCTTGCCTTGTAGTTTCACGGGGGGTCAACGCACCTCCTGCTCCAGGCCCTGGAAGCAGTGCTACTTTCAGCAATCCCGGTAAAAAAAACTGCGGCCGCCTCGAACTTGCATTGTTCTTTTGGGTGGTCTTGTTTGGGTTCAAGCTAGGAGCAGTGCAACATGCCTTAACGCATACGTCCCTTACTGCTGTCTGACCGAAAAAAACGAGGTTTTCCGGAATTCGGGAAATTGAGCGTTTTGTGCCCTTTTCAGCCCAAAAAGGTAGGGGTGACAAACGGTGACAAAGGGTGACAAGCCAGGTTGGCGTGTTAGGACCCTAAAATTGGCCAAAAACCGCAAATTAATTGGGGACTATAAGACACTTTTCCTTACTACTCTTGACGCAGCTGGATAGGCTGGAGGGCTTCAATCACCTGCGTCACTGGAGTTTGAACGCGTTCGAGGCATGTTGCGGAATGCGAGTGGCCATTGACATGGATGGCTTTCCCTCTGACCTGTCCTGTGATCCGAGAGCCGCGGTGGGGCAATTCAGTAGAGACAGGAGATGTCTTGCAGAGAGCGATGCACAGCGAGGTGTGGACAGCTTCGGATTTGACGGTAACACCACGACCTTGGTTCAGAGTAAATACCTAGAGGCTGATGCGACCCGAGAGTGGAAGGAAATTAGGAAGTTTATGAATTTCCCAAAAACGATTGTTGATAGGGGAATCAGCAAATTGCACGAGGATTTGGGCGATCCTTGCCACTGGGGCGCATCAAATTACTACGAATCGGAGTCTGAAGGTCCTGCAAGTGGGCATCACATACATAATGTACGCCAAGACTGAAAACGGCAGAACTTGCGCAGTCCAGACAAAGCAGATTGATGCTTGGATCCCTCCAACACTCATGTCCGTTTAACAGGAACAGAAGTCGCATCTGGACATACCGCTACCGCGGCTGCTCTTGCGAGTGGACAAATCGCACCAGCGTTCGAGAGTCAGGGAAGTCTGATTGCGGAGTTTGTGCTGAATGCGGAAAAGAGAAATGCATACTGGCCGCTGCGCAGAGTTGGAACATGTGGGCCAACACGGAGAAGCAAAAAATCCGTCCGTTGCCGGCAAGTGCTCCATCAAAACAGCAAGGCAATGCTAGCTCGCAACAGATTGCCGACGCATCGAGTTGATGTGACGAGTCACCAGTGGAGTCTTGCAACGGCCATGGCAGCGACGAGTTCCAGGAGGAGAGACCGAGGCCAGCCGGCTTGTGACATTGCGGGGTCTGCGGTATGTTGCGGCAGGCGCATGCTTCAGCTTCCTCGGGGTTGTGCAGGTGCTCTTCATACAGTGGCCAAGCACGGCCCGGGTCTTTGGGAAAGTCGAGTGCATTGTTTGCAAATGACCGGGTTTCCGGATTTCAGGAGTCCCTGTTTGCAGCCCACGACTTTGCCGGAGGAGCTCGGCCGTTGCTGAAGGACCGTCAAGTTCCTCCTTTGACGTTCCTGCTTGTGCTGCCGTGCCAGAAACAGCGCGCTGGCCCATTCTTCAGAGTTGCCCACAGTCGCAGTGACATTCTTTGTGACGCATGTTGTGGTCGCGTTCCAGGCCAAAGCAGCTGGAAAGGGCTTGGAAGAGGCCGCTTTAGCGTCCGGCTTGGTTCCGAGACGTGCGGTTGTTTGAACTCCCCCGCAGCCCGGAAATGCTTTCAATGCGGCTGCCCTGATCACATCAGAACCAGGAAATTCGAAGATTGCATTTGTGCAAAGCACACAGCTTTCTGTTTTTGGGACTTCAGCTGGCTGCATTTTTGGCAGACAGCGTTTGTTCCGATATGGGAAGTCGTTCGCCGCTCGACTTTGTTCTGAGACGTGCCGTTGGTGGTTGTGTGTTGTTTGATTTCCTCCTGCGGCCCTGAAATGCTGTTGGTGGGGCAGGTTGCCTTCATCACATGCACAGAACCAGGAAATCCGAAGATTGCGTTTGCAGAGCACAGCGCTGTCTGTGTTTTTTGGAAGCTGGCTGCATTTAGACGGCGTTGGTTCCGATGTGCAGCAAGAGCTTAACCACGCACAGCTTTGCATCCTGGGCAGAGTTCCTGTTAGATTGTTTTGTTTTGTTTCGTTTTTGTCTCCCCCCCATTCCTTGCAATCCTAGTTCTCGTTTCAGCCCTGACTACCCATCCGCGCTCGTTTTGATTTGCCACGAATGGTCAGCTTTATTTGTTTGGTCCTTCTGTCCATGCTCCCTCCGGCAGTATTTCTGTTCGCAGGCATCCATCAAGGCCGCCCTGATGAACGGGCTGAAGTATCGTGATCCATCTCCCTTGGTTGGAACGATTGGGGCAGATTGGGATTACGTGGGCATTGAAGACTTGCAGAAGCAGCTCTGGAAACCGCTTGCCCAGCTTTCCCAGATCAAGGGCCTCAGCCAAGATGATATTCTGCACCCAATCATTTTGGTCGTGGCTGGCACAGGTCAGGGGAAAAGCCGTTGCTTGCAAGAGTTTCATCGGCTTGCGGAAGATACTGGCTTAATTGGAAACTCTTCTTATGGTCAGCGATTTCTCCAATTTTTGCTCGCTTTCGAAAATGACCAGAAAGTAGATGCTGCATATGATAAATTCGCACAGACGATTTTGGCATCGAGGATGCTTTGGCAATTGCTCGCGAATGCAGACTTTAGACAACTCGGATGGGCTGGCTTGCCTCCAAACTTTACGTTTGAGCAGCTTCGTGCAGCGGTTGCAACTGAAGGCATCCTTGTTGACGACGTTCTTCAGGCATTGGAGAAGGGCGAAGGATTGAGTGGGGCAAAGTGGAGTTTGAGTCTGGCGCTGGATGGGCTGCACAACCTGCCTGGCTCGGAAGACATCTCAAACAAGAGCACAGCTTTCTACCAGACCATGCAAGCTGTGTGCCAGCTCGTGAATCAGGAGCCAGGTCCTTTAGTGGTGGGAGTAGTTTCTGCCACTGCCACTGTGCGAGAGGGCATTGTGGCATCTTTAGCCGACAGCCCGCAAGCGCGCACATTTATTCACTTGCCTAGGGTAGAAGTTGTGCAGCAACTCTGGGAATAAGATGCTGGAGCTTGTGCATCGAAGCCATAGGAATCCAAGGTGCAAGGTCTGAGACTGCAAAAGGTGCGAGCAAGACTTCGCGCATATCCAAACCTCATTTCGGATTTCGAGCCTGTCCTGAAAGTTGCGTTGGCTGGAAGATGGCTGAAACTCAGCGAAACTGTCGGAAAGAAGCCTGAAAGCTGCAAATGGTTCGGCTGGAGTACAGCCCAAACGGAAATCGGTGTCGAATTGTGCTACCATATATTGGATCCACCTTGCTATCGTTGATGAACCGCAGCTGCAAGAATGGGCGTTGTTGGACCACAAAGACACAACAAAGTCGTTCAAGATGAACGTGCCAAAAACTCTGATGAAGATGATGTTTGTATTCTCTTCTGAACAAAGGAGAAGCACATCCAGCAACAGGATTTGCCCCCAATGACCGGCATCGTTCAACGAGCCCAATGGCCGGAATATTTTGGTCCGTATGTGGGGCGCGCTTGGAACAGGACTCTGTGAGAAAAGTCCTGCGCTCTGTTTGACGCTTTGCCCCTCGTGAGCTCCAGGTTTAAGACGGGAAACAGTGTTGCCTTGTACTCCTTTCTCCGCAATCAGCATGTGGTTAAGAGCACAGCTCTGCGGTTTTGGCCGTGCAACCCTGAGGCCAACGGGCGCACATGACCTGTTGATGTCAAGCAAGAGCACTGTTTGTTCATGCCAGCAACAATAAGTTGCGTGGAAGTTTCTGATACTCTCGCCAGGGTCTCCTCAGCTAGTCCTTGTAGTGTGGTAGCCAGGCAAGCAGAACATGCTAGACTCATTTGCATCTTAGAATCATGTGTTTTGGGCGTCCAGCTCTGCAGGGGTCGTTGGAGTTAGTCGCGGCGTGCTCTGTGCTTTAGCCCCACACCCGCGGCGTCCAGCTCGATTTGAACGGCGACGACAAAAGCGCGTAGTACTGCACGGTGGCGAGTGTTCAGTACTTGCTTTGAGACAAACACACCCCCGGGAGTTGTGTGTGCTTTTCCTCAAGCTCGGCCCTATCATGAAGTGCGCGCTTTTCCGCCACGTGTGGCTTGATAGTTCTTGTCTCCTCCACATGGCCTCTTCCGTCCTTTTTTCACCACACGTGATCACACAACCTTGCGAACAAAAAGCTCTCCTCAGGCTAGCTGTCAAGCGATGGCCCCGAGCGGACATATGATGTTGCACGGGTTCGGCAACTCGGGGGCTTGCGCAAGCTGCGGTTGGCCGATGGCTCAAAAGCTGCGGCGCGCTTGGAGCGCGAGCGCCGCCTGCTTGGCCAGGCACCTGGGTTGCCATGCGCGACACCTGTGCTCGGGTCTGGCTTTTCCGGGCAGTTGTTTTTCCTTTTTTAAGGCCTACTCCCAAAAAGAAGTTGGTCGTCGTTCAGTTCGATGCGCCAAGCAGTGACAAGTTCATGTTGCTACGCAGGGAGGCAGTTGCCGCACAGAAAAAGCACAACAACGAGGCAGGCTCGAGGACAAGTCAAGAAGACGGCTCGAGGACAAGGAAGGTCATCGTGGACTTAGCCATTTCAGGACAGCGTTTGATTACCGGTTTGGGTTTCGATGATTCAGTCAGAAGCGAACACCGCAAAACCCTGTTTGCCCATTGCCGTCTCAGGTTCCGTGGGTTCAAGGCCTTTCTGATTTGGAAGCGTTGCAGGTGAATCGTTAATCCAGCGTGTGGTGGATCACGACACTCTTTCGCTTTGTTGCGCACATGGGCGGACATCTTTGCACCCTGCTCCTTGCAAGCGCCGAGGCAATGAAGCGCTGGGGCTGCTCTTATGCTGTGCCCCGGCAGTTGGACCAAAGAGTTTTGGGCGCGTGTCAACAGCAATCAGTTTTGCCAATGTCGCTCGGGTTTGCTCGGTCGGACTTTGTCCCGCGGCAACGTTTGATTGGCTGATCAATTCCGGGGGGCGTTGCGACTGGCCACTTCGCGCTTGTTTAGCCTCTTTTTTTTTTGTTGGCTCCCTCTTTGCGCTTGTGTTCCGTGTTTCCGACAAAGGGGCTCATGCTCGGACTTTGCTGAGGCGCTAGTCGTGGCACTGGCGGCCGCCTCGTTCCGGCCTCGGTTGGCCGTCGGTAGCCTGGGGAACTTGAAGCGAACTCGCCATGGGCCTGAAGGAACCGAAATGGAACTGGTGGCCAGTTTACTGTAAAAGGAACGGTGGTTCACGCAGCCGGAGCCTGAAGAGCTCGTTTTTCGGTCGGGGGAGCTGGTAAGGGGCAGAGCCAGCTATTCTTCAAGTGGCTTGGGGCTCACTGATGGCTGACGTCGTTTGAGTTGGTCATTTGCCAAGGCATCATGTGGTGATCTCAAACATGATGAGTATGACACGTTGCGCTTGGAATCCACAGGGGTCTTTGACTTTCTCAAGATTGTTCCGGATGCCTTGCACGTAAACTACCTTCTTCAGCACTCAGAGAGTGCTAAGCGAGAGCGAGGCGGACTATTGACACTGATTGAATCTCTTCTTTCACTCATCGAGTTTGTTTCCCAAGACAAAACGGGCGTTTTGTTTTACTTTCTGGCTGCGAAGATTCTTTGGGGCCTCTGACATAGACAGCTGCTTTTCTTCACAGCCTTCAGCACATTGCTCGGGCCAAGCCGGAGAGGAGATCCAAAAATGTTGGTTCCTTTTCGGCTCCCTTTCAAGCCCCACAAAGCCAAACAAGGGTGGCGAGATGTGCACAAATCACGCGCAACTTGGTATGGGGAGGCTTCTCCAGCCTTCGTTCTTCTTCTCATGCACGGATGTGTATGGCTTCAAGGTTTGACCAGAACCGTAGGGAGGCCAGGGGAAGGTCAGGAGCCATGGTGACAGGTTCATTCGCGTCAATGGCCTATGGTTAAGTTGGGAGGGACATGGGGCACAGGGACTCACGCACTCCCACATATGGGAGCGCAATGAGATGTGTTGGCTGCTCGTTTGCGCCAAGTTCCAGGCCGGAGAGCCCAGACCAGCAGGCAGGATCACGAGAAGTGTTCTATTGGACAAAAAGCGCCTCGCGTTTGTGCGCTTTGGATTTATGCACGCCAACTATTTTTCTAGGGAGACTGCGTCGCCAGGCTCAACCTGTTCGTCCTTCTGGTTTCCTTCATGGTCGCTTTAAGCAAAGCCTTTGGCCGGGTGTGGCCTTCGGCGAGAGTTTTTCCGGCGGCAAGGGGACAGCTCCAATCTTTCGGGGTCCGTTTGGGTGTGGGTCGAAAATAGGTAAACAAGACGGAATGCAAATGGAACAAAGACCAGCACCGGTTGTTTTCGCTGGTTAGCCTTTGGCCCAAACCCCTGGGCCTCGGCGGTCAGGTCCAGGAGACGCTCCGCCGCCAGCGCCTTGAAGAGAAGTTCGCGCGTTGGAGGCGCACGCCGGTGGCGCGGCGCGGGGCCCTGGCGAAGCGCCGGAGGCGTGCGACCATCCCGGCGTTGCTCCAAGGAAAGAAGGGAAACCACGCATCTTGGGGGTTGGAACCAGGGAAAGCCAACAGAACCTTGCATCTTATCTTGGGCGTTGCCCCCATGTGAGAGACGACCCCGTGGAAGTACCAAGGTTCCTCCGAGCCGTTTAAAGTCGATCGTACCAGGGTAGAAGATTGTGCGGCAGGGTCTTTGGAGTCCCTTTGAAACAGCCCCAACACGGGCCCGCCAAACAAACACATGCGCACCAGTTGCGTGTGTCTCACACAAGGACAGACCAACTGCCTAGACCGATGACCAATGTAATCTTGGTGGGAGTAGGCTACTACTCACACCCACTCGTATGGATGTGGCTTTTTTGAGGCAGCTCCTTTTTGGTTGTTTCTTCGCGCGGACGGCGGTTCCTCAGATTTAGACAACCTCGTATCGCGCTGTTTTGTTTGAGTTCAGTGTCTCCGTGCCTCAGTAGCGCAGTGCTTTTGTGCTTCTGTGTCATGCTTGGTTTTGTAGGCGTGTGTGTCTGTGTGTGTGCGTAGGTGGGTGGGCGTGTGCGTGTGCGTGTGCGTGTGCGTGTGCGTGTGCGTGTGCGTGTGCGTGTGCGTGTGCGTGTGCGTGTGCGTGTGCGTGTGCGTGTGCGTGTGCGTGTGCGTGTGCGTGTGCGTGCGTGTGCGTGTGCGTGTGCGTGTGCGTGTGCGTGTGCGTGTGCGTGTGCGTGTGCGTGTGCGTGTGCGTGTGCGTGTGCGTGTGCGTGTGCGTGTGCGTGTGCGTGTGCGTGTGCGTGTGCGTGTGTGTGTGTGTGTGTGTGTGTGTGTGTGTGTGTGCGTGCGCGTTGTTTATTTGTTTGTTTGTTTGTTTGTTTGTTTGTTTGTTTGTTTGTTTGTTTGTTTGTTTGTTTGTTTGTTTGTTTGTTTGTTTGTTTGTTTGTTTGTTTGTTTGTTTGTTTGTTTGTTTGTTTTTTGTTTGTTTGTTTGTTTGTTTGTTTGTTTGTTTGTTTGTTTGTTTGTTTGTTTGTTTGTTTGTTTGTTTGTTTGTTTGTTTGTTTGTTTGTTTGTTTGTTTGTTTGTTTGTTTGTTTGTTTGTTTGTTTGTTTGTTTGTTTGTTTGTTTGTTTGTTTGTTTGTTTGTTTGTTTGTTTGTTTGTTTGTTTGTTTGTTTGTTTGTTTGTTTGTTTGTTTGTTTGTTTGTTTGTTTGTTTGTTTGTTTGTTTGTTTGTTTGTTTGTTTGTTTGTTTGTTTGTTTGTTTGTTTGTTTGTTTGTTTGTTTGTTTGTTTGTTTGTTTGTTTGTTTGTTTGTTTGTTTGTTTGTTTGTTTGTTTGTTTGTTTGTGTGTTTGTGTGTTTGTGTGTTTGTGTACTTGTTTGTTTGTTTGTTTGTTTGCTTGGTTGTTTGTTTATTTGTTTGTTGGTTTGTTTGTTGGGTGTGCTTGGGCCATGTGCTGTTGGTTTCGCGTTGTGATAGCTTGGGCTGTCTTCCAGCCATTGAGAGTTGTTGTCGTTTGGAAGACCGTGTTTCTCTTTCATGTGGGGTAAGTCAGAAATGATCTATGCCGGACCGAGCAAGAGACTCTGCACC